GTAGAGTTGTTTGTTGGTTCTCTCCTGTGTAGTATGTGAGTAGAGTTGTTTGTTGGTTCTCTCCTGTGTAGTAAGTGAGTAGAGTCGTTTGTTGGTTCTCTCCTATGCTTCGCCGGTTTTCCTCCCTCCGCAAAAATCAACTTCTAAATCGATCATGGAATGAGGGCCACAGGTTTGTTAGCCACTGGCTATTAAGTGCTACCCTCGTGAATAAAGGACTTTTTTWAAATTTAAGTCAATTGCCAATTTGACATTAAAAACACTCGTAATATGAAGCATAACAAACCTGCAGTTTCTGTGGTTGATATTGTTGCTGCTGTTGTTTGTCTCTTCTTCTAAGTTCCATTCTTGATGGTTCCTGTTCTCCCTAAAACACCAACAAAAGAGATTAATTCTGTTAAAAATGGGAAAGAAAAAAAAATTTAAAACAAAAAAATATTTCAAAATATATTTGATGTCAGGATACAAAAAAAAAAGATTGTTAAATAGTTACCTGATCGGCTTCGCACACATCTTGTTGATACATTTCCTCAGCACCGCCGCCAGCATCACCATCATCATAGCCATCATCACCATCATTATACATGTTTGTATCAGGAACAGGAAACTGATTATCTGTTGCTTTGAAATAGAAAACTTCATTAATAATGGGGTTCTTATATAGTGCATTATCACATGTCTCAATGCGCTTGACATTGCAGTGGAGGACTTTACGGGCTGCATATTAAGGCGCTATTAGCAGCCGTGCAGCTTGCAATCATGAGTGATTTATTAGTACATTAGTGTTATGCCTCCAAATTGGGATAGGCTGTTGAACCGGGAGACAATCCCCTACTCTTACACGAATAGCTCAACATGTCCCCCATTTACTGTAGGTTAGGAAGGGTTGGGAGACAGGGCCTACATCATTAGAAGCAATGTACTGTTTGGACATGTACCTGCATCCTTCTGCTGCTGCTACAGTACTACTACTACTGTTAATGCTGTTATTCATTATTTATTTATTAGCTTTTCCCATGAGGGCAGGAAAACCACAACACCTTTTTCCCCATGGACCCTTTTCAAGTCCCAAATTACTACTGTGTTTCTTGATTACAGACTCATTTGCTCAGGCTGAGCCTTCAAATTTCGTGAAGAATATTCATGTGTTCCAGTCAAGGTCTGTCAAGTTTCAAAGTGCTTGTATTGTTGAAGTTGTGCATTCTTTACTTTACCATTGGTATTTGCAAGTAATTAGACACTGATTCGAGGCTAAGCCTGTACAAATGAGTCTGTAATCAAGAAACACAGCGGTAATTTGGAATTCGAAAAGGGTCTATTACAGTGTTATTACTACTATGCTACTGTTATTGCTACTACTACTGCTGCTACTTCTATTAATGCTAGTGCATACTATATATCTTGGAACTTGGTGAGAAATTGCACAAACTATTAAGTTCGATCAGTAGACCTCGGTAGACCATAGGCCTACAAAACTTTGCACAAATTTGTACGATTTCGTTAGTTAACTTTTTCAAGGTATGCACTACATCTACTACTAGTAATGCTACTGCTGCGAATGCTACTTCTGTTGATACTGCACCTAATAATAATAATAATAATAATAATAATAATAATTTGATCCAGATACCTGGTTCTTCTAATGGTTGGTGATCCTGTTGATCCTTGCATGTCTCTTTTATAGGAAAGGAATCAAAAATAAAAAATTTATTTAAAAAAAATTCTGCTGCCTTCTGACRCAAAGTCCAGTTACTAAAGAGATGAGAGGAGAGTAGACTAGCACTACACCACTTTCATTATATCACATTAATATATAATCATTAATGATTCCATGAAATCTCATGAGAGTTGGTAGCTCAGTGGTTAGAGCATGGCACCAGGATCGCCAGGGCACGGGTTCAAATCCCGTTCAAAATTCAGAATTTTTTCTGAATAACCAATCAGCATGTGAGAAATTTGTAAGTTATTATAAAAAATTATACATTAAACAATATTAATTGGCTGCTTGGAGATACAGATTTTGTCTTCTCGTGTTAAGAGTATCTTACTTTTTCACTGTGCTCACTTGAAGATATCACCTCGACATTCAAAGATAAAATCTGTATCTCCGCCCGACAATGCAATATCCTCTATTTCTCTGACCAGCTATGTAATATCCTTTATATACCTTGTTGTAGTATACCACATGTAGGTTGCGGTGTCGATGTAGGAAGTCTTCTGAATGAGCTGTCAGCCAATGTTAGATTGCCAAGATCAAGTAACAACGCACCAGAAGAGTGAACTGTGCATGTATTCATCTGTTGAGAACACAGTAAACAAAAATTATCAACACTATTATCACCTATTATCTTTCAATTCACAGTTGCACTAGTTCCTTGGTATACTGCAGGGATCAGCTCTATTCAGTAAATTACACCCAAGGTAAAATTTATAGTTTACATATATGGCCAAACAAAAAAATTAAAGTGTTTCCTGTTGCATTAGAAAAAATAATTGGGGTCGGTAGGTCGGATTTTTTATACTAATAAACAATAGAAATGAGCTTACTGGGAGCCCTGTGGCAAAAATTGACAAGAAAATTAGGGTTGGTCGCACAACAGGAAACACTTATTTTTTTGTTTGGCCTATTCTTATACGCTATTATAACCATTGGCACTGTTCTTGCWGGTAGAGCAGTTTTCGTATGACTGCGAAAAGCTCAGTGCCGTAAGCATGACATGCTGTGACTGTGATACTTTCTAGAGTTTTAATTGGCTGATTTTTTTCACATGCAATATGATTGGTCTAAAAGTGCCATGATCTTGGCATGGCTTGGTTTATGCCGTGTCCCAGGTATTTGATTGGATGGAGAGTAAATTCTCGTGCAATGTGGTTTGTCTGGCGTATCCCTTGCTGTGTCACGACCGTGTTCGTGCYGTGAACTTTTCACAGTCATACGAAAACTGCACTATATAGTACAGATTACTAACCTTGAAGTCGTTTCTACTACCCAGCACTTCACCTGTGTGACTAAGAATTCAATAAAAAACATTATTACTCCCTTGCGTCAAATCTAGGTAAGATGTGACTAAGTATACTACTGAAGAAATGGAAAACGCATATGCATGCTGGGCTTGGCAAAGCATGAGATAAGTGTTTGGAAAAGCACAAAATGTAGCAAGTTTTTTATTATTATTATTATAGCATTACAACTACAGTACTTATTTAAAAACAAGTTAAGGAAAACACTAGTTGAGGAAAGAACAACGGGACAAGAGTCCCATATAAAATTCCTCCAAAATAAACGTTAGGATTAATTGTTATTTTGGATAGGAATGAAAATGCTCGCGCGTGCTGTGTGCTCTCATAAAGCATGCACTCCCAACCTATCAGAACGCAAGAGTACTAACAGTTATTTTGCAATAATGTATCCTACCTAAGTAACATATCTTGCCTGTCCCGTTCCCCYAGGGGAATTAAAGCTAGAGGTGTTCTTGGAATGATTTGAGATGCCTGAAACATCAACAAGACATTTAGTAATGAGAAAGTTGAAAATAATAATTGGCTAAAATAACAAAATTAGGGTTTTTTAAAAAATGGTAAATTTTAATATGAGATGATGCTCATAAAAGAAAAATCGCCATCACTCAACACCCAAAGTAACTCTATTACAGGCAAGTTATTTATGTGATCTACTGATCCGTAAAACATTGACTGTTAACTAGACTGTTTCATAATGGTAATTGAACTGAGTGGAGTGCAATTTGGTCTGAAATCAAAAGCATGATAACAAAATTGCAAGTTTGATTCAGACCAAAATTGCATGACACGAAGTTCAATTACCACTTAACCATATCCTTTTTGTAATCATACACAAGAAAAAGACACAATAAAGAGTGCAGAATAATCAATTTAATGTAGTAGAAGAACTAAATGCGAACTAACAAAAACACTAAAAAAAACGTTTTTTGTTGATTTTTATTGTTTTAATTTGTTTTATTTTATTGTATAAAAAATTGTTGCTTTTTTTGTATTTAATGTTAAATCATTCTTCCATCACTTTACTCGATAATGACATCGGACGATGTCCAAACATTGTAATCTTCTAGCGTTCATATCTATAATGCAATCCTAAAACTTTTTGCAACTTGAACACTGAATGCAATTTACAACAGCGGAGCCAGTTGTGAGTTGAGTTTGTTTGCTGTCTTGCTCTCTCCCTTGGCACATTCCTGGTTTTCCCCTTTTTTATCCCTCCGTAAAAACATATAAATGTGAGATGAGCACTGTATGTCAACATAGAATATAGTTCTAGTGCATGTGGAGGGAACCTCGTGGAAGAGCCCCTCAAAGGGAGTGGTGGTCGTAAAATATAAATTTAGAAAATTAGAGGTGGTACTAATATTTTAAAAAGTTGATGATGGTGAAATTGATGAATAGTCCCCTTCACAGTTCCCTGCGCCATCTTGAAAGGTAGCCATGCCTTTGCATTGAAGTGAGACGAACGGTGAGCTTGCAATGATAGAGACATTTTTTAACACCTTGGACATTCACAGGTCTCTATCATTGCAAGCTCACTGTTCGTCTCGCTACGATGCAAAGGCATGGCTACCTTTGAAGATGGCGCAGGGAACCGTGAAGGAGACTATTACCTCATTCTTGATGTTGTAGTCGTCATCTTTTAAATCGATGTTTTTAGATTCTTGAATATCGTCTAAAGATAAAAACTGAAAAAACAACCAGAAAAAAATTTGTTAAGAAGAAAACAACTTGCAAGCAATAGTAGTGTGTGCTGCTAACACTGGTTTCTTACGGCCATAAAGCTTTTCGATTTGGCTCATTTGCATCCAATTTGAGGGACTATGAAGTGAAGGATAGCAAGCCATCATAATATATCCATCAAATTAGCAGCCTCTTACCCTTTAGTCAAGAGTTTGATTCTATAAATCTAAGAAAATACATCTACATTTTATGGAGTTGATAAAATCGGTAAGATATCACATCAACTATAAAACAAATTAGCTACATATAAATATAAAAAACACTAAAAATATATAAAATAAAAAAAGCCCCGAATAATTAGTTTTGCATAAAGCTAAAATATAAATATCTGCAAATCACAAAATAATGATAAATAATACAAAAAAAAAAAATTCAATATTATAAGATCCTCATACTACCTATTTTAGGTAGGTCTCTAATTCAGACTTAAATAGAGCTAGTGTAGCCTGCCGTAGAAGATAAAGGTGCATGATAAAAGGAGGTCATTCCAGTAAATTTTGCATGCCATTTTATTATTCATATGGCAGTGCATCAATATTTTCTCCTGCTAAACCTGAAATTTGGTCTGTTATTTGACCATTGGCAGGCTGTTATTTCAAGCCCTGGAACTTAGCAATATTATTTAAGCCATGAATAATCTAATTCATGGAGAAAAGATGAATCATAGTAATTGACCATTAAGAGTTTTGCAATTCTGATATAAAATCCCTTCAGAATCATCTTCAGCTTAGGTTGTAATTCTGGTACAACATGGTACTTAGTTGTAAACATTTCTAAGAGTAAAGATGGTTATGGGTTTTCTCATGTCTTTGAGTAATTTTCTCTGAAAAATCCATACATTTTTCTAGGTAATGGATATAATAATAGTATAACATTATAATGTATAATGTATGTAATATATTATACAGTATGAATGGCTGTGTYGTATCCGATATACAAACTCAAGGCATAGCCGAGAGTTTGTATATTGGATACAACACTGACACGAATACTGTAGATTACAAACGTCTAGGTTAGTTCCTTTGTGTTTCGCTAAAATTTTCAAGATAAAAGTGAATCTGGCCAAGAAAATCCATCTTAAAGTTTATGCAAATGAACAGGATTCTGTATCTGATTTACAGAACTCTTCACGGTCGTGATTTCTGTTGTGTTTTCCTCATTAATTATTAATGAGTTTAATAAAATCTAAACGGAACACAAAAGCCTAAAGACTTCCAGTATAACATTATATYGAGAATAGCCTGACTCTAATCGTTCAAGTACCTCTTCTTCTCCACCCAAAGTTACATCGTTATCTGGACCCCTATCCTCTACCGATACGGCTTGCTGAAGTCGCCTATAATAATGGATCAAGTTAAAAGTTCAAGATATCTTGTACATATATGTAACATATTTGGAGTATCAAAGGAGAGGTGGGGGAATGAATAGAGCACCTCCATATCAGTGAGAGGGCAACGTTTCTGCTTATAACATGTAACACAGAACAAATGGCATTAAATACAAACTTGAATATTTTATAAGGATTCGTATGGGAAAATGTGCTAGATGGCAAGCTTGCCACTGTATGATATTTGACCTAGTTTAAAAGTATAGTAAGTCCATTGCATTTTAATAAATCATTTGGTCTAACACTTACTTTTTACTGGCAATTAAGTCCAAAGTTTGGTAGACTAACGTATATAGATATTCAACCTGTATAAAATAAACAATATGCATTATAGCCATACTGTAATGTACATGCTAATAGACAATTTCCAAGATGTGCAAGCATTGTCAAAATTATAGTGTACACAGTTAGTTGCACAAATTCCAAAATCATCATCTTCATCATCACCACAATCATCCCTGGCGTAGGCAATCGATGAAATCAATCATCGAAAACCCAATCGATGACTCGATAGCAATCATTATAATTAGTCAAATTAGTTGATTGATATCGATGAATATTGGACAATCGATGACAAATCGATAGGTCACAACACAGAATGCCAATTGATGAATATCATCATTGATCGATCATCGATCAATGTAATATTTTGTTATTAGAATACATAGAAGGTCACAGATGTTCGTGGCATCGACTGGTCATCGATTTACGATGCTAATCGATTATTCAGTATYGATTTTCATCGAATGGCATCGATAGTTATCGATCATCGACTGCCTACGCCGGGAATCATCATCAGGGACTTTAAGATTTGCAAAATCTGTGACGGCGACGTCAACCGGAAGAGTATATTACTTCACTTTGGGGTTTCGCRTCTTTAAAATCTGTCTTACCTGTGGATGAGTTGACTTTACTGACAATGTTTTGAATGAAATCTCCAATGAACAGAACCCCAAAGAGAAATTATTCACACTTCCGGTTGACGTCGCCGTCATAGATTTTGCAAATCTTAAAGTCCCTAACATCACCATCACGACAACCTATGTCTTCATGATTCGCTACCTTTTTGCTGTAAATACAAGCTGATCCTTGAATTAAAAGTGCCGCTTCAGCAAAATTCATCGTAGTTTTACCTCCATCGAAAGATATTTGAATTTTTTCGATCTGTCCAAAAAATAACACAAAAACCGGTCAAACTTTCTCTCAAATAACGTCTGGCATCTAAGCAAAGTTTACACTAATTTCTGAGCAGCAAATAAAGCAGCTTAAGAATCCAAAGGCCGATTTAGTATATGTACTTTGATTAGACAGAGATCAAGGTGTTTTTGTGGCGATCAAAGCAAAAATAAAATATTTTTTTCGTCGTATCTTCTTACCTCATTCAAATATTCTTCAAGTTGAGCTGCCACATCAATGTCCCAATTTTTCGTTAAATCTCTAATTGGCTGAAGTAAAAAATTGTATTTCGACAACATGTCGTTCCCTAGGCTGTTAATAGTCTGTGTAGGCATGTTGATGGGGCTTTTTTATGGCTTTTTTTAAAGCTTTTTTAAAGACATTCTTTGTTGATATTAGTTGTTTTTCTCGTTCGATCTTCCCGCCTTTTTTGTTAGTCATTACGCATGTCACTCATGCCCCTTCCGCTGACCATCTTTTTACGGGTGCGTGGTGGATTATGGGATATATAGACGAGTCGACAGTGTTTGGAAAGATTATTAGAAAAATGGAAACGAAAAAAAGAAAAACAATCCTAATCGAATCAAGTGAATCTATCTTTGTAAAGAAACTAAATTTTTTTGTTAATATTCTATTATTTTCAAGTCGAAAAAGGAAAATGAAATGCCGAGATAATATTTAGGCCACCCATCCAAGTACTAACCTCCCTCACACGAGCTTGACTCAGTTTGAAGCTCAAGTTTTTTTCCACTGGACCACGGTTCCAGGTAAATCAGCATAACAATAGCCGTGAAAACAATACACCGAATAGACTAGACTTTTTAACATTAT